TATGTAAAAGGGACTAATTTTGAGGATGTAATGTTGGAAATTTACTTAGTCATGCACAACGGAATTTAAAACAAATTAAATTTGTACCCAAGACATGCTTTGTGTTTAGATAGAAAATGCGATAAAAATTATACCTTTAGTTAATTCTACGAAGAATAAGTACGATCTGCAATTCACAGCTGTGTAATTGTTAAGAGAATTATGGTTTTTCCTTTCTTGTGGTAGTAAGACAAAAATCGCGTCCTGTTTTCTCAACTCTAACACCTTATTAATAGAAATTCAAGTGGGCTTGACTTGACATTTAAACTTAACCTGGTTCAATATTTTATTAATCTAATTGAATAACCTTGATCCATCACTTAATTAACTGATTAATAAATTTGGCTTATTAATAAGGAAGCCAATTAATTAATTGTTCAACACTTGTCAATTAATTAATTACTAAATATCATCTTTCTAGTTCTCCTTTTGTGTATGATCCATTGGGTTCTCGATAATGATGTCTAACAATGTGAATCATTATGATCTAATCAGAATCGATAAATTCCCTTGTTGATTTACCATCATTTGACATTCATCATCCCAAATTGATATCAAACAATACGTCAAGACAATAATATGAAAAAATATCACATAGTATGACAAAATTAAGCTTGTTTATTTATTGTGAAAATATAATTTGTTTCATCAATATGATCCGATCAATTACGAGATATGGATTGTCAATCTCGATTATCGATTATATCTTTCATTCCACTTTAAGTCAATATTAGCTAAAAGCTCCTTTTGACTTATGAATACACATTGATCAAGGATTACGTTATCGATTTACGTGAATCAAATGTAGATCATAATCTCTTACATCTAAGAATGATGAATTATTTACTGAGCACTCACAACTTTCATATGATTTTTGACATATTTGTTGGTAAAACAACATCCAATATCATCAAAGCATGACTGTCACCATATAAGGACTATTATGACCTCATGTTAAAAGATTTTACTATCGAACATTAGAGATTAACAATTGACACTCAAATAATTATCTATGTGGAATCTCTCCAGCGGATCTTCAACGTTTTGTTCTTATAACAAAACATTCACGCTTAATAATGAAATTTGTATCTCGTTATTACTTATGATCACGGATAATTTAATATTCAACCATATGTAATTTATTTTTTACAATCACAATTCCTTGTATTTTAAAAGTTATTAAAATTTAAATCTACAAACTCCATTAATTTAATTTGTCTGAATAATAATACAATTAAATAATAAATTTGTCATAAATAAAATGCATTATTCATATCAAAAGTATTTACATCTAAAAATGATTGAATATATGACATAACACTTTCTCACAAGAATAAAGAAAGAAAAGGATTATGAAGAAAGAACACCTAGTTTCGTCTTTTGTTTTAGATCTCTCTCTCTCTCTCTCTTCCCCTCGGGAGGTGGGTACAATTAGCACAGACATTTTTGTCTAAATTTAGTTTTAGTAGAAATAAGATTTACTTTGCAATAAAAACTTGATAAGTGAAGATTTCTTTTTTGAAGCGTAAAATCAAATAGCACGGACATGAACTTTCTGTAAAATATGATAATCTAACTTTGTACAAAGAAGATAGAGCAATTTCAAGCAACCTTTATTCGTTAACTTTAAAATTAAAGTAATCTCATACCTTATATCATCAGAGAAAAGTTTATTATCATGCTAGTCCCAATGTTGTATAGATAAAAATTTATTTAACTTTCACATATAAAAGTAATCTAAAATTTCACAATAATTTTCTAACTAAATGCTGAAACAAAATTTTAAATTCTTGATCGACCTATACAGATTACAGACTATGCCAACAATTTCAACCTTCAATTTCGATCAATCAAGCATTTGTAAAAAAAAATTTAAATATGGAATAAGCCTAACCCATCTTTTTACACTCAAATTGTTATCGCATCTCCTAGATTCGAACTTAAGACATCTGCCCTATAAGAGATTTTAGTTCAATCCAGGTATCAATTAGGCAATCAACCTCCTTGGCTATGAACTTTCACTCTATCTCATTGGAATTGAGTTTTCTCAATCGGAGAGAAATGATAGAGATCAAGATAAGATAAAGATAGGATTTTAGGTAAGAAGTCAAATTAGAGTTTGGTTCAATTTATGTTATTTAGGTTAGATAAGATTAGATTTAAATATTCGTTAAGTACATACGTTTATTAGAAGTTCATTTGGGTTTCGTTTTCTTGAATTTATTTTTTTGTAAATAAAGGGCTTATTCAACGTAATAGTTAACCTGATTACATAATGATTGATTTTACTTGGTCCTTAATTCTTCTCTTCTTGGATTCCTTTCTCTCTATTTCTTGTTTTGTTCGTTAATGAATTATACGCTCGTGTTAGATAGATTTATGGAATGGAAGATGCTACTTGAAAGAGTGAAGAAGAAATCAAAGCCCATAATCCCCCACTCTTTGCCTAGTAATGTAAATTTTGAGGATGAAATGGTTTTAAGAGGTAGAGGATGTCATATCCTAGAATTTTTAGAATGTGAAACAATTTTTTTTTTTTTTTTTGTTCCTTGAGTCTTCATCTAAAGGTACATTCTATTTTCGAATCAAACGGGTTCAAAATTGTCGTTTTGGGAATGGAGATACAATAAATATTTTTTTACTTGTAAGAGAGAGTAATTTAATCTAATCAAATAAAAGTAAAAATAAAATAGACTAAGATTAAATGTAAATAGTTCCTAACAACAACGTCAAAAACTTGTTGCATTTTTTTTTATCTCAAGCTTACGATATCGAACAAGTAATATAGTGAACTTTTGAGTTCGAATAATATTTCCCACAGAGCTATATTTTTTCTTAAATTACTATTTCTACTTCTATTTGAAGAAAATAATTTTTGGTCTGGTGACTTTTTTATTTAAATTATATTTAACTAGCTTGATGTTATCGAAACACATACAATAATCGAATTAATATTTTAAGCATGAAAGAGATCACACAATTTCATTTATTGATTACCTCTAATTCTATAATCAAGATTCTTTACTTAATATTGCTCGATCGAATTCTTTTAACGTATTCAATTTACATCTTTTCAGTTCAAATTGATTCTATTTAACTAAGTCAAATTCATATATTTTTGTTAACCATGATACAACTTAATTAAACGCCTTAAATATCCAAGAATTCATGTAAACGGTAAAATATATTTCTACACTTCTATACTAATTATTGGACTTTATTATGTCGCGTCTAAATCTATATTTTGCCTTTCTATTGGTTATAGATTCACAATATTGTTGAATTATTGAATAAGTAATTCAAAGCATAAAACGCCATAGATAAGATTAACACATAAAATTAAGAACTAGAATCTTGAAATTTGAATTAAAGGATCTCAATAAACTACCTTGATCATCATAAATAAATGTTTAGGTACTCATTCTAGATGAAGAAAATATAGAATAATTATGGAATAATAAATCAGAGGGTATGGAATTAAGATGTAGAGAATTAGATGAATATTGCACCAAGATTGTCTTCCCCCACCAAATCATGGTTCCAAACCCTCGTTCTTGATTAGGTCTTTATAGAGTATTACACTTCAAATAAGAATTTCCATAAAAGATAAACTCGTAAAAAGAATAAAAAATTGCAAAAAATTGGCCAAATGTAACTGGTCGCAGCATATTGCGAGTTCCAGCAGCGGTGGGTCTGCCGCTAGTTTGCCAACCGTGGTTGGCGTGCTGCAATTTCTCATTTTGTAGTTTGGTCATTCAACTTTTTAAAACTTTCATTTTTGGTTCTCAAACTTTCCAATTGTCAAATATTCATTCTTTAACTGATGAATCTTATCCAATTGCTCCAGCACTTCTCTCAATTGATTGACTGCAACCCCGAATGATCAGATGCCTGAATCAATCTCCAGTTAAGCTCAAAATCACCACATTTTGCACCAATTACACCCAACCCGATCTTCACCTATAAATCACATGATTGCACTTAATTAAGTTGAAATTCGCTCAATTAATGATAATTTATCAAGACTACAAGTACAAAAAAGCGTGTAAAATACATTTATCAGATGTCATTCCGGTAATTGCAAAACTACTTACAAGTCATTTTCCCATCTCAACAAAGTTGTGTGTGTTGTTTTTTGTTTTTTTTTTTTTTTTTTTTTTTTTTGTGAAGCATTTCTAGCATTCAGAAGTGTTATCGCAAGTTTTTGGCTACTTTCTCTCTTTGTAAAGACGTTTCTTCTTTTAAAATATCATCAAGCTTTATAATTTTCGATACACTAGTATCAACATTTTCAAGAACTGGTACATCATTTAGACCACAATAATTTATTTATAGAATAATGCACTACTGAGGAACTGGTTAATTGTAGAGAATTATGAAATTGTGATGATTTGATATACAGCCGTGCATATTTAAATTTTCACTTTTAGTATACTCTTTGGATAAAATTAATTCTTAAAATTTCAAAATATTGTAACATAGTCTTCATGTTAATGGTACTTCATTCACAATATTATTACTTATCTCAATTTTTGCAATTGCGATTATTGAACTACAAAGTGACAAAGTTTGTAAGCTACCCATCCCACTAAATGTCCATAATAAACACGTTAAAGGTGTTTTTCACGTGCGAATTCTTCATTTAAACATAATAAATGAGTATCCCAAGTTCTATTCTAGATTCCATACATAAGTGATTCGAAAACTTATTTCGATATTGTTAGTCAATGCATTGAATAGATTTCTAGTATTCGGGGCCTTAAATAAGGGATATTGTGTAGCTATAATTACCATAACAAAATTATAATTATAGTAATTTCTTTCTAGCCATTGAAAAAAAAGTATAAAAAGGTAC